ACGTGAAGCCAGGGAGGAGAACGTGAAGGCACATCTCTCGATTGCTGCATTCTTTGCACATTGCCTACATGTCACTTGCCAGTTTACGTGAAGCCCCTGAAGGCATGTTTCAAGCAACCACTGAATTTTGGACAGCCTAGAGACGAACACCCTGCAGTGTGTGAAGATCCAGGATCTTCTAAGAAACAGATAGTGCCTTCGTTCCCACCAGCGCCACAAAAACTTCTGATTATGGCTGCTTTAGCCTCCAGCTATGAGGACTCATCTCCGTACTACATGCTCTCTCTCTCTCTCTCTCTCTCTCTCTCTCTCTCTCTCTCTCTCTCTCTCTCTCTCTCTCTCTCTCTCTCTGTGCTAGCCCTTCAGAATGTGCAGTTCAGCGTGAAGTCCTCTCTTCAGTCCGGCATGCCAACCTTGAGCAGAAGCTACTCCCTCTTTTTCCAGATTTTTCCTTTTTGTCTTACTTTGCACTCTCTACCTTGGACACAACACCCTTCTAGCAGACCACCGTTTTCTCCATACTGCACGCTAGCAGCCAGCCAGTGTAGCTGAGGGTTTGAGACCCAGATCAGGATGTACATAAAGGACTACGTGGAGGGACAGAGCACAGCCCCTCCCTTGGCCCATCAATTTGATCTATGGACCAGGATGCAGCACGGAACACTACAAAAGGAGGGTCTGGGCAGTGAGGCATCTGAACAGACTCCACAGTGGCTTATCACTACAAGACAAACCAGACTTGATAAAATCATCTGAAAGGAACACATGGGGGTAGGCTAGACGCATATAACCTGAAAACTAGTAAAGTATCAAGTTCAAAAAACAAATAAACTAGTCAGTAGAATAGCACGAAAGGCGGGTTATAGTTTTCGGGCAAAAAGGAATGCATTTTATTGCGGAAAGAACATGCAACATGGCCCACTACTTCTCAAAGGGGTTCAGAAGGGTGTCTAGAAGAATATGGGGCCGAAGATGCGTTGGGCCAGAAGATGTCCCAGGTCCAGATTGCTAACCTGAACGTGGCACTGCATGGTACAAACACTTTGCTTTCAGCTCAGTTACAGCTCCCACCTGAAGCCTGTGGCCATGCAGGGGTTCCAAAGCAGGCAAGTAATGTATTGAATGCATATTTTTTTTTCCCTTTTTCTTGAACCCTTCCATTTACCACCTTCGCTCTTATCGTCTTATGTGTTATGCACTGTTTTGTTTAACGGCAACAACGTTCCCATTTGTTTGTTTGTTTGTTTGTTTGTTTGTTCTTGTGTTTGTTTGTCTCGTTCGCTCATTGGTTTGTTATTTGGTTGGTTTGGTTTAGTTTGGTTTGGTTTGGTTCTGTATAGGTTAGTTTGGGTTGGGTTGGGTTGGGTTGGGTTAGGTTGAGCTTGCAGAGGGTTGGGCTGGTCTGGTTTGGGTTTAGGGCTAGGCTTGGAGTTGGGTTTGTTTGCCTGTTTGTTTGTTGCTTGTTTCGTGGATCACCATATTGATACTCTGACTGCCTTGGCATTTGCAGAGGCATTCTTCGTTTCTTTCCACGAGGTCCAAGTGCATGTGATATTGAGGTATGTCCCGAGCCCTCTATTCAAGACACTACTATGTTTCTGAAGCATGAGCGCGTGTTCCTGTTGGTCCTGCCTGTCGTACCAGATACATATAAATTTTAAAGGTTAAACCACCCCAGTACGTTTCCCGGTTATTTGTTCTAAGTTCTAACACAGCGATTAACCCGCCTCAAAATCACGGGTTGGGCCTCTACTGGACGGAAAAGGCTGGTGATGCTAAACAAACAGATGCAGTATCACACCCGTGCCGGTTCTGTTTTTTTTTTTTTTTTTTTTTTTTTTTTTTTTTTACCTGGCACGTGACAGGAATCCGGATTGGAAAGAAGTGACTTGGACGGACTGGTGGTTTAAGAGCCTTGAAGAGTCTGTGTTGCTTCCCCTTCTAGATCTGAACTTGGCGCACATCTTTTTTATTGATATCTTACTGCTTCTCCACTGTGTTCTGGAGGATGAGTAAGAAGTACAGTGCAGCAGTCCATGATCTAATGTGTTTGCCACGTATAATTGTTTGCCGCGCATAGGCAGGGAGGGGGCAAGGGGGCCAGAATCATAGATAAGTTGTCAGCATTGGCAAGCCCTCAATAGGAATGAAATTTGATCATCGTTGATTGATCTCACGGCTTGTTTATCAGCAGCAACGTTGGCGTAGTACCATTAGGGTTTAAAATAATGGCCTTTTTTTTATCCCATGACCTGTTTATGACAGGTACATGTTTGTATCATTCATAATTTCGAGATTATGGATACATAGCTCTGCTGATAAACGAGTAAAAAGTTTGAGATTATGAGACAACAGCTACATACTCATAGCTTTTCGAGATTTGACCTCATGACCTGCTTACCAAGGCTATATCTGTGCACCATTATAGGATATATTTTTATTATATTTATTATATTATAAAGTATAATAAGCTCATGCATGGGCACTGTTCGTGAGCTGAACTCACAATCTGTTTATCAACAGCTGCGTATGTGTATTATTCAGGAGCTGAACCCATGCCTGTTAATGAACAGCCACATGTGTGTGCCGTTCAATATTCGAACTTATCACCTGTTTAGAGGTGACCTTGGTGCATATTTTTTATTCATTGAAATGGTGCAGCTCTTACTGCTGTTTAATGTGGCTTGGAGGATGAGTAAAGAGGAAAGTTCTGCAGTCCAAGCTTTGATTGTTTGCGATGTACACACTAGGAACACAAGTGAAGTATACCACTTCCACCGGCAAATTATAGCGGATCCCTCTGCACCCGCTTGCCTTTCGTCACCTTTGTTCTTTGCTGCCATGACTTGTGAACATCCAGCAATGCTCCCATAGAGAGTATTGTTGAACCCTCAGCAAACTCGAGAGAAGATTGAGTATAAGAGAAAAGAAAAGCGAAGGAAAAAGAAAAGGACGAGACCAAAAGAAAACAGACAAAGAAAAAGGAAAGAACAAGGAAGAGGAAGTCTACTGGCCTTGCAGCAGAATGCTTGATGGTGTCAATATGCTGAGATGCTCCATAATGCAAGAGTTAGCACCGTTTTTTTCCCCTTTTTCAAAGACATAACGAATTCAAAGAAAAACGTAAGAAGGGCAAAACATGAATTACATAGCCTCAGGCACTCTGGTGATTGCTGGGATGCTTGTATAGGAGTTTGTGGTATTAGAAGATACACTTTCTGATTGGTTCATCGGACTTCATCCACTTCCTTATGTTTCTCGTTTACTGCTCATCATGATTTGCAATGAACTTCCGCTGTGTATCTTCTCTCTGGTTTGGTGTGGATTTGCCTTCTCCAGGTCTGCTTTGTCATGGCATGCGTGTATGGCAGCGTGTGAATACTTCGTGGATGGAATTTCAATCAGTTACATAACATGACCCATGTTGACTTATTCCTAGTGTTGTGCCTCTTGCTTTTTTTGGTTTTTGCGTCCTCTGTTTTTCTTTTTTGATCTCCCAATTTCTCCCTGCATTTTCCCCTATTCTGTATTGTCTTCCGCTTCTTTTCTTTCCGTTTGATGCATCATTTACCGGTGCAAGCAGCTCACAATCGCATACGAAGTTCCTCAAGTTCTGCTTCCCTTTGCACAGGTATACTCCTGTCTCTTATACACATCTAGATGTGTATAAGAGACAGGTGAGGGGGTCTGTATGTGGTTCAAGGGCTTGCTGATCAACGCCTCGCAGTTTCAACTGAAATCACTCTGCTTGCATGACGGTGTTAAGATGAAGAATACAGATTAGGATTGCACTCCAAATGTGCAAGCCCATCAACAGAACGGGAAACAGATGCCGCACTGTTTGACATGTGACCATGAACAGAGAGCCTGTCTCTTATACACATCTAGATGTGTATAAGAGACAGGTGCATGCCAATGCTCTCGTAGCTGTTGATGTGCAGAATGCATTCCCAGTCCAACGGAAAAATGTACAGAGGGCAGGTGAACAATAGATCACTTCTTGGACAGTGAGGGGGTCTGTATGTGGTTCAAGGGCTTGCTGATCAACGCCTCGCAGTTTCAACTGAAATCACTCTGCTTGCATGACGGTGTTAAGATGAAGAATACAGATTAGGATTGCACTCCAAATGTGCAAGCCCATCAACAGAACGGGAAACAGATGCCGCACTGTTTGACATGTGACCATGAACAGAGAGCATTGTGTCCAATAGAAAAGCTTGGTATTGCGCCTGCTATGCCAGTGACAGGAAATGTACCAAGAGGGGTATTAAGTCTCGGGACAGCCCTGTCCTTCGGGACATCCGTTAAAATTGGAACAATACAGAGAAGATTAGCATGGCCCCTGTGCAAGGATGACACGCATAGATCGAGAAATGGTCCAAAAAGCTTAAAAAAAAAGAAAAAAAAAAAAGGTCTCGGGACAGCCCATTGATTATCTTAATTGCAGATTTATTGTGATGAATTGTGAAACAATTAGTCCTTCGGGGCATCCGTTAAAATTCGAATGATACAGAGAAGATTAGCATGGCCCCTGCACAAGGATGACACGCATAAATCGAGAAATGGTCTCAAAAAAAAATAAAATAATAATAATAAATTGTGAAGGGCTTTCAGTTTTTCAAAGACCAAGAATGGGGAATGAGTGCATTAGGTGGAAGGATTTTAGGCCCGCCGGCTCAGGCCGGGCTCCTGCCTCCGTCCTTTTTGTCTGTTGTTCACCGCTAGCAGCATTGTCAATGAGGGAGGTCGGTCTAAATGCAAAACTGTGTCTCTGGTGAGTGTGCTCACAGCTGCAATGCTAAGAGCCTTGCCGACGGGCCAACAGTGCTGACATGAAGAGATGTCACGAAGCAATTCACACATGCATGAACCGGTGTGAAGGATTATTTCAAAGAACATGGAACAAAAGGTGAGTGGGCATGTGGGCAGCCATCCGGGTGTGGCTGACCTTAAGCAGGCCGTAACTCTACACTGCACGGGGAAGAGGTACAGCCTGTGCCTTTGCGGTGACTGCCATCACAGTCACACTGTGCACAGAAGGAATATACAGAAAACGAATGTACATTAAGAATGTACACCTCAAGGAGTGTGCAGGAGACACGTACAAGGTTACGATCTGAAGCTAACTTGGCAGGATCAAAAGTCGAGCCAAATCAGTCGAGCCACCTATCTGAAGCAAAACATCTGTCAGATAGAAGAGTGAGGCAGGTGAGCCAAATCAGCACACAGCTGCCGGGGGGAAGGAGGCAGGAGGTTTGTGAACATAACAGTGGTGGAATAGACAGAAAATGAAGAAAAGAGAAGAGAAGAGCAAGAAACCGGGATGAGACTCATGAGAGCGATGCAGGAAGTCGCAACAAAAGGAAATGTCTTCCGAAAGAAAAAGGCAGTATGCTGGCTGGTCAATCTGTAAGCCAAGAGGGCTAGCAATCACATACCTATCAGCCACAAGAGCACACTTTGCGAAACAAGCAAAAAAAAAAAGCAGAAAACATGGAGCACACTGAAAGTGTTCTTTTGCCTTTGCCTGTGCAGTTCTTTCTTTCTTTCTTTCTTTCTTTCTTTCTTTCTTTCTTTTTTTTCTTTTTTTTTTTTTTCTTTTTTTTAAACAGGTCCTTGTGGTCCTGGCTCCATATCCATTCTGGGGAGCGTCAGTCTGGTTCCTTTCCACCGGCAAGTCAAGAATGAAATACACGGTGAACACTCACACGCTTCCTTCCGTATGGCCGAAGGAACCCTGACCAGCATTGATTACTCCTTGTCAGGAGGATTGACTGTCAGCTTGCCCTACCTCTTTTCCTCTCAGAGTCTGTGCTGACTCTGCCAGATGCTACATATAAAGCAAGAAAAGGGGAGAGATGTCTAGGCTGTTGAGATTMAAATCTCAGTTGATTCATCAAAAGGACCCTGTCCTTGTGTTATGCCACTTCTTCCACACCAATCTGTTGTCCACCAATGTAGCGATCTTTCCCTGTAGAAGGCCAGTCTCTTGTGAATTTACGTCTCCTTATGGCTGTCCTTTCAGGTCTGCCTTTCTTTGTCAAGGATATTTCTCGCCATCTGGATCGAATCTCTGTTTCCGCCATTCTTAGCAGCAAAACCCACATTTCCTCTCTAGGCACCTCTGTTCCTTCGATCGTCTTGGAGCATCTCCTCTTCCAGATTACCCACAGCGCCAGCTTTCTGAGAAGGTGGAACCACACTTCCTTGCCACCGCTGAGATTGTTAGTGTCGTTAGATAGGATCAGGATGTACAGGGGGGTTGTGGCCGGGGGGGGGTGATGAGAAGAGAAAGGTCCATAGGATGCACACTTTGTTCCAGAACCATGCTGCCTCTGGGCAGTATAAGAGGCAGTGAAGTGTGTCCTCCTCAACGTTGTCCGTGCACAGTCTGCATATTTCAGTACTGTCGGGGTCTGTGTGTTTTCTTCTCTTGTGGAGCCACTGATTGGTTGGCAGGGAGGCGTGAGCTAGGAGCCATTGCATGCTTCGAATCCTGACCGGTCTAATGGTTAGGAATTTAGTCCACGGAATGGTTATGGGGGTCGAGGGGTCCAGACTCAATGATTCCCTCCATTTGCTTTTAAGTCTGGGGTCTGGGTCTGAGGTCTGTAGGCCTAGATCATAGCCGAATTTGACATCGTATTCTGCTAATGTTCTCATCTTCCCCGAGTTCCCCTGTTTCCATATCCATTCTTTCGGGTCAAATTCTAGCTCTGAAATGCAGAGGTCCGGTCGGAAGATTTTCCAAGGTTTGGACTTTGATACCCTCACTTTTCTCAGACGGAACGTCTCCAGCAGCTCGCTCTGTGGTTCGTTATTCTGGATTTCCAATTCGTTTGTGCTGTGATTAACTACCGGGTAGGAGTAGAGCTTAGATAGGTAGCCGGGTGGGTTCGTTCTAGTGACGAATCTGTATGCTCTGGTAGGCTGGGTTTGGGAGACTGGTATACCCCGATCCCCGGACTTCCACGAAAATTCCTCTCTTAGGAGGGGGATCCACTGTGGTGGGATGCTATTTATGATCATTGTTAAGTTATCGGCGAGGGCGTGGCATCCTTTTAGTGTGGTTCGTAGTTCCTGATCCGTCGCCCATCGTCCTTGGTCTTCTACCCAGATGTGCTTGACCTGCCATACCCCTCTTTCTACCCACGATAGCCACCTCCGGTNTAGTTCCTGATCCGTCGCCCATCGTCCTTGGTCTTCTACCCAGATGTGCTTGACCTGCCATACCCCTCTTTCTACCCACGATAGCCACCTCCGGTCCCGAGAGTGCAGGGTCCAGATTTTTCCACTGGGGTCAGTGATCCAGGGGTTGCAGAAAAGCGGCTGTCTCAGGACTTCTTCTTTGTTACCAGGTGTTCCGTGTTTGCTCGGCATCATTTTGCGCCATGCTTTGATAGTGGGGCTCCAATAGTTGCTGCCTGTCTGCGTTGTGTTTGTGTTGGCCTGTGCAGGGATGTGTTGTGTGGGGTTTCTTTTGCGTGTTCTGCCGGACTTGATTGTCCATTCCTTTGCCATGATCCAGAACAGGTCGTTCATGTTTCTAGGGGAGTTGATGGGAGCTAAGTTTCTGATGCTGTCTAGCGCCATTTGAGTCCATGGGAGGAACTGTCTGGTGAGAATCTTGATCACCCATTTCATCTATAGTGCTATGGACCTGTTTTGGGTCGATTATCCCAAGGCCCCCTTCCTGTGGCTTCCTAGTAATGTGACTCCATGCGACCCTGTTGATGCCTGTCCACAAATAGCACCTCACCCTGTTCTTGAGCTCCTTGAGGTCGTCGTCGGGGGGGGACCAGATTGATGCCATGTACCACAGCGTAGAGAAGATCGCTGTGTTGATGAGTAGTGCCCGTCCGATTAGTGAGGCCTGCACATTTTTGCACAGGGCCAGGCGGGTGATTGCTCTTGCTATCAGATTTTGGCCCATTCCCGGCCACACCCCTTCTTTGTTAACCATGATGCCCAGGAACCGTAGTGCTTGTTCTCCCGTGGTCCAATTCATAGGTGTGGTTGTGTCCGATGGTTGGGGAGGGGTGTCGTCTGCTAACCAGCAGCCTTCAGTTTTATTCCAGTTTACCCTCATTTCTGAAGCCAGTCTGAATGCTTCCATCGCCTTTACCAGTGATTGAAAGGAGCTGTTATTTGCTCTAATGAGTACCGTAAGGTCGTCAGTGAACATGAGAGTCGTGGGTAGGGCGAAGTCATGTAACGGATTGAAGTTCTGTTCTGTGAGGCGGTCGATGGATGGGTCTTTGCGGAGAAATGAGGCTATGGCTTCCATTATGAAGAGAAAAATGGGAGGAGCCAGTGGGTCGCCTTGTCTGACTGACCGTGAGATTGGGTATGTTTCGGATAGGATTCTATTGACCTGGACTCTACCTGTTGCATTTGCGTACAGAACTCTTACCCAACTTCTGAAGTTCGGTCCTACCCCCATTTTTTCCATGCATGCGTGGAGAAAATCCCAGTTAACTTGATCGTAGGCTTTCTCGAAATCGAAGAACAGGATTGCTGCCTTCATACGTTTCTCCGTGATCTTTTTTGCTGCTTCATTCAAGGTCATCACATTGTCTAATATGTAACGGCCTGGGATGAAGCCTGCTTGATCGATGTGGAAGCAGCTGTTCGTTAGTTTGGTGATTCTGTTTGCTAGCGCCTTGGCTAGGATTTTGTAAGGAGTGGTTAGTAGGGATATGGGTCTGTAGTTTTTCAGGTCTTCTTTGTCTCCCTTCTTGTATAGTAGTGAGACTATGCTGGTACTCAACTCCTTACCTAGGCCTCTTTTGTGCATACTTTTGTTTAAAAAGTCGAGTAGGTCTTCCCCCAGTGTTGGCCAGAAGCAGCTCCAGAATTCCTTTGAGAGGCCGTCGATGCCCGGGGCTTTGTCGTTTCCCATCTGGTTCAAGGCTGTGTGCAGTTCAGCCAGGGTCAGTGGTCTGTCTAGGCCATCCGCCTGTTAGTCCGAGATGGTTCTGTCGAGGTACGATAGCATCACCTGGCGGGCTGCTAGGTTCGTTGTTGTCGGGGGTGAAGGGGTCTTGGATTCGTATAGATCTGCGTAGAAGGCTCTGGCTATCCCTACCATCTCCGGGCCTGTGGTTTTTGTGCTCCCAGCGTCCGCTGGGTCTTTAAGTGCCTCGATCATGCTGTTCCTGGCGTTCGCCTTGATTTTGGAGAAGAAGAATTTTGTCATTGACTCGTTAAGTGCATAGTCTGTCATCCTCGCCCGTATTTGTAAACCTCTTGAGTTCCCATCTTCTCCATTCGTTTAGTTCCTCCTTGGTGTCGTCTAGAAGTTCTTGGTAGAAGCTGCTAGTTGGGTCCTCCGCCAGATTCTCTTCAGCGACGGCCATCGCGAATTGGAGTTCTTCCCTTCTTCTTTTTCGGTCTCTAACAATATCTCTAGATTCCGCTGATACTGCTTGTGTTAACTCTGTGTAGCTATCGATGAACCACTGGTGACTATTTATTCTCCTTGATTCTCGCTGCTTATTGATAGCCCATTGTTCTTGGACTGTCGTCTTCATTCTCTCGGTTCTTAATAGTGAGTTATTTAGCTTGAAGAAACCTTGACCTGTTTGTACTGGTACATTGAAGTTGAGCAGCATCTGGATGGGTTTGTGGTCCAAACCTTTGAAGGCTGCTGATGGGAGGATTTCGGCCTTTTTGACTGTCYCTAGGAGGCTCTCGGATATGAGGAAGTAGTCAATCCTGGACAGCGAGGTCCGATTTGCTAGGTTTCTCCTTATCCGGGAGAAAATTCTCTTGTCCGGGTGCAGTGCCCTGAGGGGGTCGCAGAGTTCGAATTGGGTCATCAGGTTTCGGATCCTGGTGCTCGCTCTAGTGGGTCCCATTAGTACTGTTCTTGAGATCCGATCCAGGTTTGGGTCCAGGGTTGTGTTCCAATCTCCTGCCATGATTACTGGCTGTGGGTTGGGGATGAGGGGTTTGATATTTTCAAAGAAGATCAGTCTGTCGGATTCCGTGTTGGGTGCGTACAGGTTGAGAATTCGCAGATCCTCACCTTGCCACTTAATGTCCATCCACGACCATCTCCCTTCCTTTCTATCCCCCTCGCTGTTGAGGATATGTCCTTCGGTCAGGATTTTTGACGTTTTAGGGATCAGTATCGCTGTCCCTCTATTGCTTTGGCCGACTCTGTTGGACCACATTGTGACTGCACATCCTCCTACAGCTCTCTCCATCCTCTGTTGTATCTTCCGGTGGTTGTTCAGGTTGGATAAATGTGTCTCTTGGAGGAGTATACGGTCTGGTTTGGGGATGTCCTTCCCCACCAGGCCTGTCCGGATGTCTCTGAGTTTGTCTTCGTCGGTCAGAATGTTTCCGAGGCCATTGATGTTCCAGCTGATTATCTGAAGTCCCTTAGCGTACCAGTTTATTCTGGTTGGGCTTGATTGCCCGTTTCTGAGTGCTGTGACGCTCTGCATTGATTCTTATTGCTGTATAAAATTTTCTATTTTTCCTGCCTGATTTTCGATGGTTCTTGCTGCTGTGACATTGTTAGATTGTAGGGCAGGGTTTTATTGCCTGTGCAGTTCTTTCTTCTCTTTCCTTATTTCTGCTTTTCTCGCCGTTTCTCTTTTATTTCTCCTTTTGGCACCCCCTTTACTGGGCCTCTCACATACAAGGCTTGCCACGTTGATGCACTCGAGCGCGAACTGCGCACATCTCCGTGTGCTGTACTGGCCCACTTGCATGCTACGAAAAAGATGCACATCAAAGAGAGAGAGGATAGGAGTGAAGAAAGATGGAAGGAAGACGAAGCAAAGGAAGACAAAGGTAGGGCAGATTAAACAAGGCTCAGGAGTCGTGTAGATATGTGCGTATGTATCGGGTGAACACATGAATGAACGGACACTTGGAGGGATGGGCGGATGAACGGTTGAAAAGATGGGTGGATGAATGAATGGAGGAATGGATGGATGATGTTTAAAGCTAGTCTACCAGAATGGCCTGGGACCACTTGCCTGGCCGGGCCCAAAAAAAAAAAAAAAAAAAAAAAAAAAAATGGTGAAGAATTTCGATGTGACCCTGAGGCAAAAGTTGTTCAGTTTATTTTTCTGCATAGCATCGTTTTTTTTTTCTTTTTCCTTTTTCTTTTTTGCTAGGTTGTTCCCTGGTCCTTGCACGGCCGACCGCCCGGGAAAGTAGGGTGACCCGGGCGGCCCGGCTGGTAGCCCAGGTTTAAAGATTATAAATCTGGATTTGGTGCAACTGCTTTCATTGAGCCAAGAAGATTAACAGGAACGGATAAAGATCCAGAGATTGGAGTCTGATGCCATTCATGCATGATGGAAGTTGCTCATGAGCGGCCAGTGACTCCAAGCAGTCGTGAGATTGTCAGCACACAGGCTGATTTCAGCAGTCCTCTGCTGAAGCTCACTGAAGTTAGGTGCTGAGTTACTGCTGGCTGTGGGACAAGACTTGCATGTCCCCTGCGTTGTCCTGACTGAACGCTGTGAATCACTGACACTGGGGCCATACCGTACCCATGCATCATTATAGCTCATTGCAGCTATAACAGGCTTACCTATTGTACTACGTGTGGCATGCACCACACGGGCCCCCTGGGCCCGGCCATAGGTTAGGGGGTTGGCTCAGGGGGTTAGTCGTTCCCTTTTGGGCCTCTGCATTCCATTTTCCCAGTCTCCTTCGGTCTGGTTCACTCTTTTTCAGGTCGGGTTCCAGTTTGGGTGCCAAGTTCACTCCCTTTCAGTTTGGGCAGGAGATTGCAGCATTTCAGCTGGGCGCCAAGTTCACTCCTGTTTCAGTTTGGGCGCCAGATTGCAGCATTCTGTTCGTCCTGTGTATTGAGGCTCCTTGGGCGCCAGTTTCCTTCAGCTGGGCGCCAAGTTCACTTCTCCTTGGGCCACACAGCAGTAGGCCCAGCATTATATATAGCTGGGCCAGCCTAAGTTGTGGCACGCAGAGTTAGAGGTTGAGGTCTACACGCTGCTGGGGAGCGCTGCTTCGGTGGAGGAGATAGGCAGAGTAGTGGAGTAGGAGGTTGATGTCAGAGGCCAGACTATGAGAGACCCACCTGCAGACTTGGCACGATAGCTCCTGTTCGACTTCCGGCGCCTTCCACCTGCATCACAGCTCGGAGGAGACACCTTTGTGCTGGTCAGTATCTGGCTCCACCTTCCAGAGACTTCGAGAGGATTCTTCTTCTTCGTCCCCCTCCAGCTACATCACCCATCTTCCTCCTCCCTCCCTCTGGTTCTTCTTCTTCTTCTTCTTCTTCCTTCTTCTTCCTTCTTCTTCCTTCTTCTTACTTCTTCTTCCTTCTTCTTCTTCTTCTTTTCTTCTAGAGATAGAGAGAGATTTCGAGAGTTGGGACTGGGTGACATTGGACTCAGACCGATATCTGGACAGAGACGGTGGGAGACTATGTTTGGAGACTTCATTTGGGCGACATTTGAGTTGGCAACATCTCCATTTCTATTCCCCTTTGTCTCTTCTCCCGCCTCCTCATCTGTGGATGCTGTTCTGGCATGACACTCTTCGTCTGGATGTTGAGCGTCATGCCTTCTCACCTTGTTTGATGATGATTAGTGAGTGCAGTCAGCCTGAGTCGTTTTGAGTGAGATCTGTGTGTATCCAGGCTTCCGCTGCAGTGTATTTTGCTCATTCTCCTTGGTTGGTTCTAGGGTTCTGCGCCATGCCCATATCTGATTGTCTTCGGGCATGCGACACTACGGTCCATCACTCTTGGACAACAACTGAGCGTACTTGTAGATCCCTGACTTCTACGGCCGTGGCACTATTTGATCCTAGACGGCAGTGACGGAGAACTGTATTGTTTGATTTCTGTTATTTGTGGACAAAAGTAACTTCGTGATATGAGGAAAGTTCCTCTGTGCCAGCTCAGCTGGAATGAGGATCATTTACTCAGAACAGCTCAATCAGCGACTTTATGGGTATATTCAGCAGAAAGGCAACACTTATTGCGAGGTGGAAAAAGCAGGAGAAAGCATGCAACTTTTCTCCCTGGCTATGAAATGCACATTGCATATCCGAACAGTGAATGTGACTTTTGAAATGGGCGGACACGGAGCAATTAACGTTGTGTGTGTGTGTGTGTGTGTGTGTGTGTGTGTGTGTGTGTGTGTGTGTGTGTGTGTGTGTGTGTG